GCTCTCTCCCTCACCACCTTTGATTACTTTGGCTGCCCCAATAATAAATTGATGCAAGAGAAAAGATTAATTTAATTTCATGTGCATGGAGGGCCATAAAATATGGAAACTTTGATCTGATTGGCAAAGTAAAGATATATAGTTTTTAGGAAGGGGGTACTAAATTTGGAAAGAAATTGAATCAAAGGTCTAAGACAGTTTAAAATTTAGAAACAATTTAAAAAGATTTTACACCGTTTATTTACATAGGAAAATGGACCTTGGAAACCCCAGTTTGTGGTGAAAAGCTTTACTCCATTTCCAGATGCAAGGAGAAAAAATTCATTTCAAGCTTAGGGAGGTTAAAGCATCATTCTTGAGTCAGCTATTTCTCAGTTGCCTTCAATTCAAAAATAATCATCAAGTCCATCAGCACATTCTGGGGTATATATTTAGTTCCAATATATCTTAAATCAGGGTTTCTTAATCTTCCAAGTGCAAAAATCATAGCAGGTGTTCTCTTTAATAACTCTCCCATATTTTTTCACACTGCCTCCCCCCCCCCATTGGGTTTAGTATTTGTAGTATTGTGTTCAATCAAACGTAATGTTTCTTGATCTCAACTTTGAAGGTGGGAGATTTTATACTTTGTTTATCAAAGATTTTTTCTTTTTATCCTATGGATCTCAATTAGAAATTTTTCAATGATGTTTCCACTCTTAATGGTTGTTGAAGAAAAAAAGAGATTTCCTAAAGTTATGAAAATCTTTGTAAACATAAGAAGTGCAGCCTTATTGTTTATGAATCTGAGGTTAAACAGATCTGATTTCCTCATAGTTGTCTGTCTTTCTCAGATCATATTTAATCTCTGGCTATTTTGTAAAAACCTCATTGGAAAATTAGAACATTTGGGAAACTTCTGAAATACTCTGGCTATCAGTAACTTTCAAGATTTGAGTAAAAAATTTCTTGCTCAATCTGTAGTGGTTATTAAAAGATAATTTTCCTACCAATGCCCTGAATTTACATGTTTTTCATCATATAACAGTGGTAAAATGTGTGGGCTTTACAGATAGATGGCTTAAGTTTAAATCCAACTTTCTACTTAACCTCTTTGTACCTTAGTTTTATCACATATGAAATAGAAATACACTTTTCGATTATCATCATAGGCTATTTTTAAGGATTAAGGGAAATAATCCTTGTTACCTATGCCAGAGTTAAGTATATAAGAACTTACTATTTTGGATATTGTTATTTTTGTCTTTGCATTTCCAACTAAATTGTAAATCTTTTAGAGTCAGACATTAACATCATTAATAAAATACAAAACAAATTAATACAAAATGTTTGAGTCAAGTCATTTAAAGTTATGGAACATAGTCTTTTCACGCTTTTAAAGAAAGTATTTATATGTGGTATTCAATATCAATAAATACTGATGTGGTATTGCATCTTAGATCTATTTATTTTTTCCTTCATTAAATCTAGTTCAATGTTTTATAAATAGAAAGTTATCAGTCAACAAATTATAGCCAAATACATGTAAATTATTCCCACATGACATAATTTTGATTTGAATTACAACATAAACATATTATAAATATGCAGTAAATATGTTCACTGTAAACTCAGTGTTTACAGTTTATCCTTTTAACATCATTTAAAAAAATATGTGGCGCACTTAAGATAACTATCTCTTCCAAATTCCTAGTAAAGAGACACATTTTCTGAAAGTACTTAATGATATTTGGACAAAGTGTGCATTCCAAAACACTGGCATTATGAGTTAATGCATTTGCAACAGACCTCTGAATGAGGTTACATATTGCTTACATTGCAAATGACAAATGCAAAGTAGTGAGGAATGAGTTAGGACCTAGTGAGCATCAATGAAACTCTTAATGGTTTTTTTGCTTCCTTCTCTCTCTTAAAAGAATCTCAGTTAGTAACATCCTAATCAAACAAGATAAATATGCTTCATATTAAAGCTCAGAATTATAGGATCACATAATTTGGGGACTGGAATGAAAAATAAAAGATAATCAAATCCAACTCCTTCCTTTTATAGATAAGAAAACTGAGGACTAGGGCCTCCCTGATGGCGCAAGGGGTTAAGCACAGCACTATGAAGCTATCTGCAGCCTCTGCAGCATGAGTTTGATCCCCTGGCCAGCCAGGGCCAGGGAGCTAACCCACATGTCACAGCAGACCTCTCCTGTCTCGCCTGCTGCTCCCCTCAGCAGTGTATTTCATTCAATCTGTCTGTTCTGTTCCCCACTCTGTCTCTGGTGAATCCTCTCACCCTCCTATGCTTCTGGCCTGTACCCCAGTTCTTGTATGCATAAATAAATAAACCTTTTAAAAAAAGAAAACTGAAAATTGAGGTTTATAAACTAAGACTTTTTAAGACAACAACACTCAGACCCTTTGAATTACTTACTCTAGTTATATCATTTATTTTTACATTGGGTTGACCACAACTCAAAATTCCATTGTTCTCTGGTCCCATGTGCTTGGAAGTGGTCCTTTCTAAATGTGTTCCTGTAAAGGGCCCTCTGGGTCTTGGGGCATTTTTCTTGATGGAATCAAAATCAGAGATGGTTTTCCTTTAAGTGTTTGTCTTTTAAGGGAACACTCTCATGTGACATCTGGCGCCAGAAAGAAATCTTTATGGCGTATGTTTCACAAATATTTTCTTCTTGGTTATTTTAAACCTCCGAGAGCAAAAATTTGTCAATATTTCACATAAATAAATTGTTTTTTAGTAAGTAAAATGCCAAGTGTTAGGTTCCATTTTTGTGTTGACCCATTTATCAGAAAAGCTAATGATTTACATTTTCCAAATAAACTTACTCCAATACAATTTTCACTTGCATGGCTTAAAAAATTTGATACTTCAAAGCATGGAAACAAGTTTTCAATAAATGTAGTATTTAAGGAAGTCCTAACATAAATTAAGACACTTAGTGGAGATAATTGTGACTAATCCTTTTATTTTTTAAAAAGATTTATTTATTTATGCATACAAGAACTGGGGTACAGGCCAGAGGCGTGGGGGGTGATAAGATTCACCAGAGACAGAGTGGGGAGCAGAACAGGCAGAATGACCGAAATACACTGCTGAGGGGAGCAGGGGGCTTGACCGGAGAGGGTTACTGCACCATGTGGGTTGGGTGGGGATCGAACCTGCACTGCAGAGGCTGCAGACAGCTTCACAGCACTGTGGCTCAACTGCCTGCACCACCAAGGAGGCCCTGTGACTAATCCCTTTAATTTAAAGAAGTAAGATTGATAGCAAATCCCAAAATCCGTATCTTTATCACTTTAGAGATTAAATTGCCTTTTATATCTATTAATGAAAAACTGTATTTAATATTAAAATTATTTCCAAAACTGATCTTTAATTATTTTTTCATTGCTGCCTCTGATCTTTAATTAAAATGTACTGGACAGGGGCTTTGGGGGAGCTTGTCCTGTTGTTAGGTGGTAGTTATCAAATTAAATTGTGCTGGGCCTCCCCTGGTGGCACAGCGGTTGAGCGCTGGGTTGTGAAGCTGCCCGCAGCCTCTGCAGCGCCAGTTTCATTCCTGGCCACTGGCGAAGGTCCCACATGGCAGGCAGACCTCTCCTGTCTCGCCCGCTGCTCCCCTCAGCACTGTATTTCTCTGGCTCTGGTGAATTCTCTCACCCTCCCGTGCTTCTGACTGTACCCAGTGCTTGTATGAATAAATAAATAAATATTTGAAAAAAATTAAATTGTGCTGAAGCAATAGTAAGTGTCCACAAATAATATTTTTTATTTTGATTTTTTTTATCTTTGACTTTATTTTTCTATATATTTTTTACATCATTTTTCATTTTTGCACAACATATGCATTTTCATCCTGGTTATAGTCCCCATACAATTCCCACCCCCCCTTGTTTTGATTTGCACCCCTATGTTTATAGCAGCACTATTTACAATAGCTAAGCTATGGAAACAACCCAAATGCCCAAAAACAGATGACTGGATCAAGAAGATGTGGTACATATACACAATGGAATATTACTCAACAATCAAAAAAGATAAACTCATGCAGTTTGCAGCAACATGGATGGAGCTGGAAGGGATCATGCTCAGCGAAAAAAGCCAGAAAGAAAAAGAAAAATACCGGATGGTCTCACTCATAGCAGGAATCTAGAAAACCTAAATAAGCGACCAGGAAAAAGAATAACTACAAGAAAGTCAAAATCAAAATCAACAAGCAACTATAAACCAGAGACACACTACGGGGCTGGGGGGTGGGGAGGGAGTAGGATCACAAATAATATTTTTACAAAGTCTTTGTAAAAATTCTCACGTTGTTACCAGAGATGTCAATCTATTAATGAAAAAAGAAAAACACACAGTATTGAAATAAAAAGGGAAAAAAGCTAGCAGAGGGGCAGAAAGAGACTTTTTTCATCCCCCTCCCAACCCTCCCTCCTTAGAACGCTGGAGCGCCCCGGAGCTGGGGCGTGCGCCCCTACTGCGTGCGCCGGGAACCCGGTCTTCACCGAGACGCGCTGCAAAGCCAGGGCGTTCCCTGCTGGGGCTGCTAGCTCTAGGAACCACGATCACCTGGGTGTGTTCTTGAGGATCCTAGAAACTTCTGTCTCTGACCGATCATCACTAGGGCTGTAGGCAGAAGGCTTTGAGCGGTCAGAAGGGTTTCCTGTGTGTCAGCAACTTCACTTTGCCGAGACAGCTGGCGGAAGAGCGAAAGGGCGCTCGCGGGCCAATCGCTCCCCAGCAGCCAGCTCGGCCCGAGCGCGCCCTCGCCCCGCTCGCCGACTCGGGTAGCAGAGGCCGGCAGAAGTTGAGCGCGCCAGGTCACGGCTCCCCAGAAGACGCCTGGGCTGGGGCAGCGCCCCTGGAGCGCGCGGGCTGGCGGCCGGGCGGGTTCCGCGGAGGCACGCCCCTCGCCTCCCCGCGGAGCGCGGACTCGCCCGTGCGCCCAAACTCCGCCCACCCTCGCGGGGAGTCCGTCCCTCCCGCCTGCCCTTTGCACTCCAGACCGAGCTGGGCCTGGAGAAGGGGTCGGGAGTTGCACAGACAGCGAACGGGACGCGATCCAGACGCTCAAGGGTGCGCAGCGCGCGCGCTTCGATGGCCCCTAGAGGCTGAGCGCAGGGGGCGCGGAGCAGGCGGCGCTGCCCTCCAGCCGAGCTGCTGGCTTGCAAGGTAGGGAGAAGGAAGCAAGATGCCCAAACGTTGATCTTTGCGGGAGGGAGGCAGGGGAGCGCTGCGCAGCGAGTTGGGGCGAGCCTCTGCGTCCCCGCCGCGCGCTCCGGCGCGACCCGCTGCCTCCAGGAAAGCGCAGTCGGAAAGTTGTCCGCGGCGGTGTCCTGCGCTGCCTGTTGTGTAACCTCGGCGCTGCCAGCCGGACGGGGAAGTTGCTGGCCGGCTCCCCAACCCCGGTCTATCGCGGCTCCGGGAGGATTTCATGGCCCGTTGTGAACGAGGGGCTGGAGCCGGTGTGGGCGAGGCCCCGCGCGCCCCCTCCCGCGGGGATCCCCGACACCCGCGCCCTTCCGCTCTCTGGCTTTTCCGATGCGCGCTGCGCCCCTCGGCGCCGCCACCCTCTCGCTGCCACTTGCTCGGGGCCGAAGCCTAAGTTGGGGAGGAGAAAATGACCGAGGTCCTCTGGCCGACCGTCCCCAACGGGACGGACGCTGCCTTCTTGGCTGGCTCAGAGTCGTCTTGGGGGAACAGCACGGTCGGCTCCACCGCCGCAGTGGCCGCCTCCTACAGATGCGCGCTGACCAAGACGGGCTTCCAGTTCTACTACCTGCCCGCTGTCTACATCTTGGTGTTCATCATCGGCTTTCTGGGCAACAGCGTGGCGATCTGGATGTTCGTCTTCCACATGAAACCGTGGAGTGGCATCTCCGTGTACATGTTCAACTTGGCCCTGGCTGACTTCTTGTACGTGTTGACTCTGCCCGCGCTCATTTTCTATTATTTCAATAAAACAGACTGGATCTTCGGGGATGCCATGTGCAAGCTGCAGAGGTTTATCTTCCATGTGAACCTCTACGGCAGCATCTTGTTCTTGACCTGCATCAGCGCGCACCGGTACAGCGGCGTGGTGTACCCGCTCAAGTCCCTGGGCAGGCTCAAGAAGAAGAACGCGGTCTACATCAGCATCCTGGTGTGGCTCATTGTGGTGGCGGCCATCTCCCCCATCCTGTTCTACTCCGGCACAGGGGTCCGGAAAAACAAAACCATCACCTGCTATGATACCACCTCCGACGAGTACCTGCGCAGCTATTTCATCTACAGCATGTGCACGACCGTGGCCATGTTCTGTGTGCCCTTGGTGTTGATTCTGGGCTGTTATGGATTAATTGTGAGAGCTTTGATTTACAACGACCTGGACAACTCACCTCTGAGAAGGAAATCAATTTACTTGGTGATTATTGTACTGACTGTTTTCGCTGTGTCTTACATCCCTTTCCATGTAATGAAAACGATGAATTTGAGGGCCCGGCTGGATTTCCAGACCCCAGAAATGTGTGCTTTCAATGACAGGGTTTATGCCACTTACCAGGTGACAAGAGGTCTAGCAAGTCTCAACAGTTGTGTGGACCCCATTCTCTATTTCTTGGCAGGGGATACTTTCAGAAGGAGACTCTCTCGAGCCACCAGGAAAGCTTCCAGAAGAAGTGAAGCAAATTTGCAGTCCAAGAGTGAAGATATGACCCTCAATATTTTATCTGAGTTCAAGCAGAACGGAGATACAACCTTGTGAAGATTCAAGAATCCCCAAACACCCACTTTTGTTACATGGTAGGATGCTTTTTGGATGTCGGTGCCTTTTCTTTATTTCCTTCTTTTTTTTTTTTTTTTTTTTACCCCTTTAAGTTTCTAGTAAGTTTAGAGAAAATTAAAAACAAGAAAGTAGTGAGTAGGGGAAAAAGTATAAATACCTATACCCATACTTAGTTTGTATGGGCTTGCCTTTAAGGCCTCCCTTTTTTAATCAGAGTATGTACAATAAAATAATACCAACCGAGTTAAACATTTACTTTCTCTTCTGCCTTTACAATTTACAAGCTTTTAAATTGAAGTGCACAGTGAGTACTGGAGTTATTTTGATACAAATTTCTCCAAGGATATTGACCATCTGAAACTGGAGTTTGTGATTTGTCTAATCTTTATAGTTTTAATTATCTATGCCACGGGCACATTTGAAACTTCACTTTCCCCAAAATAGCCTAGTGCAGCAAAATATTAAACTTGGTTCATTCAATATCAGATCTCAGCTAGGTGTCTTTTTTTGGTCCTATGAGCACAAGTGGTAACTGGCTGAGTTTTTTTTTTTTTAAGTCAATAAATTTAAAGCCCTAAAAATTATTAGTTGCGTTAGTTATGAAAAGCTTCTCACTCTATGTTGGGTGCTAGATGTTTGCTGGTTGAGTTCTGCATATGTTACTTTAACAGGTGAAGTTCATCCAAAATCATCAAAGTATGCAGACTTTCCTTATAAACACAATGAACTCTCTTAGACTTCCTGTGATAAAGAGTATTGCTCTGCAATACCTCAGGGGTTTGTGTCCCAGGACAGTTGCTCACTTACATCTCTGAAAACAATTCTAAAAATTACATATTATTACCAGATCATAGTTGAATAACTTAGCACTTTGGGGGATGTGGACTAGGAGACTGACATTCTCAGCATACTCTTAAGTGATGAGGCATCTGGGAGGGTAAAGAAGATATTTTGTAGAACAAGGACTGTAATTTAAATTAAAGTCATGGTGTAAAAGACTCTTTTTTTGCTCCTGTGTTGGGAAACATTAAGTGCAATGTGAAAAGAAGGCACAGTTTGTACAGGTTGTGTTGACACAATGGGAAGTTTTAATTCTTTACTGGATCTCACATGCTCACATTGGAAGAAAAAAAAAAAAGCAAATATATGGGAAAGGTAACTATGGGGAATCAATTCAAGTATTTGAGGGCTACTGTGCTGAAAAATACTGTGTGAAAAGTAATGAAATCACTAATAATTTAAGAGAGGGCTGCTAGTCAGTGTTTTTGCATGCTTTCTCTGCCAGTCAGTAATGAAATCAAATACTTCAACAACTTTAATAACAAATTTCTACGAATATTGAATTGTTGCATTTATAGCCCTTGAGATGGTCAGATTCCATACAATGTGGACTAAGGAGGTAAGGTCCCAATTTAGCACTCCAAACAAATCTAGTGTCAAAGACATTTATAATTGTGCAAACTGGCTCCAAAAGGGCAACATCAGCATCTTCCACTAATGGTAGAGGAACTTGTTTGAAAGTTGCTTGCTTTATCAGTAAGGCAATTTGGAGCTGTGTCTCAAGGCAAGCAGCTCAGTACCCTGTGAGACATAGGGGCATGAAAGTCAGAGCTCAATTTTTGCATTATTGCCTGCATGGAATCTGAAAGATTTGTGAGTCCTTCAGATTCGTAGACATGTTCCAGTTTACCCAACATTCAGCCATTAAGACCAATAAGGAAAAGCTTCTTTAGACTGTCTTAAGAATGGTATTTCTAATACTCAGTGTTAATGTGCAGAATTATAGAAACCAAATCAAGAAGAAACCTGTTCAATATCCTTCCTTTTCTTCCTCATTTTGAGGGAGAAGAGGGATAGCTGGATTCTCACTTATTTAGGGTCCTACAACGTTGTTGTGGAACCCTGAAAAAAAATGTCTAAAATACATCATTACTATTTTGTCCCTGTCAAAATAGTAATGTCTTGTTCAGTGAGACTAGATTGTTATCACTAAAATGTCTACAGTAAGAATTTCAAAACCTGTACCATCCTTGAACTTGATCACTCGTGGCACACCTTTCTGTAACATTTCGAAAGCATTTACTTTAGTTTTCTTTCTTTTAGGTCTCAGGATACCCAGCCTAGTTTAGGGTATGTGGTGGCCAGTAACTAGACATACCCTTTGACTTCTTGGCATGTTTTTTTTTTTTTTTCCAGAGCTTTTCTTCTTTAGCTTCATGCATCATGTAGTGGACAATGCTGACAAGTGGATGCGTGCCAAATAGCCACAAGAGTGATTTCACCAACTCCTTCCAGGCAAAAAGAGGTCTCTGTGAAGAGTCTATGCTAATGGTGATAATACACAGAGGAGCAAGATAAGGCAGTGATCTAGTGCATGAAAATCTGATTCATGACATATGATATGAGTAAGTATTTAGTAATACAGGCAGAAATCTGTTAGCATGTTGATGAAAGAACAGCTAACATAGAACTTAACAGTTCACAAATATCACACTACAAAACTATCTTAATATCAAATTCAAGATGTTTCATGGCTCACATTGGCATCTTTGACTCTTTGAACATCAGTCGTGTTTGCACTGAATTGATGAAAAGACAAACTAAGAAGCTAGGCTTTGGAGTTAGAAACATGACACTGACCCCTGCCTGCAGTGGAACGCTTGACCCTTTGACCATTGGCCATCTTGGACTAAAAGGTTGGATGACATCCATCTGTTGGGGCCTTAGGGCAAAGCATTGAAGCCAGCCAACCAGAGTGTGAAATCTGCTACTGTATATTCCAGGACTCTTTAATTCCTCTTCTAGGCTAAAAATTCTTACAAAGTTAACCAATTATGATGTGGACCTATGACCAGTAAGTTTTTTATTTTTAGTCTACTCATGCAGTATGCTAAACTGCCTTTGGGTGCAAAGTTGTCAGCGCATTTAGCAGCTGGAATTGAACTACTTATAATGTTTAAACATTTGTTATTAGTTAGAGATCTATTGAAGCTTTAACTTGCTTGGTCAAATTATGACTATCAGTAGTATTTATTGATGAAGCTCACAGTCTTTTAGTTGTACAAATTGAAAACTTTTCTTGAAAGATCCACTGTTCTGATGTAAATTATATTTATTATTATGTATAATATGGATGTGTCACACTGGTATATAGTACATAATATGCATAGATGAAGAGTTATTGTATATTTTGATGTTTTTCAAATGTCAGTATATTAAAGTGGTTAAGTATTCAGATTTTTTTTATCTAAAATGAAAATTTGTTTTGTGATACAAGTGATTCTTTTTTCTCTAAAAATGCTTTTGCACGTTTATCTCATTTTTTTATTAAGGGTTCTTTCTATATAGACACAATTTTGTGTGAGACTATCATAAGATCAATAGTACACAAAAAATACCTTAGCCAGATTGGGTCTGTATTATCTATATATTATATGATAGTATAGAAAAGTTTATTGTCTTTTCAGGAACTTTGGAATTGTGCCCCCAAATATGGCCAGAGATTCCATTTCCAAAGGCAAAAGACTTGTTAAGAGATCAAGGTAGATCTCTTGAGTTTTGGAAGTTGGTGGGGTGGGCACTATAGATACAACATTAAAATTTAAGGAAAATCTTTAGAGTGATGGGGAGAGAAAGAGGCAGCTGGTATATTCAGTTCTGCTTCAGATTTTGTGTTGTGTTTCTTAATGTGAGATGGAATTTCTAAGTAACACACTACCAGCAAGTTCAACACTGCTATTCATTTAAATATGTTTTCTTTGTTTGGTTGATAACTTTAATTCCAAGTTTTATAATGATGACTGTATATTATTTGGCTGCTGGAACCTGTTACAATTTTTTTATTCTGTTGTGCATTGTATTATTCACATCATTACAAATTAATATGAAGGGGAATATGTTACATATAAAGATTTGTGAATTTGAATTGTAGTATGTTTTAGTGCTTTTGCAAAAATGTTTATTTTTATATTATATGTGATTTTAATATAGATAATTGAACTAGATTTCATTGTGATTACTAGTGTCATTGAATGAGCAGTATGAAGACAGTGTTACTTGACATTTGGAGCTTTCTCAGGTTTATCTAAGTCAGTGATAACTTGACAAATTCCAGACTAATTGTGCATAATTGTATTTCAAGTAAAAGGAATGTACATTTCCTAGAAGTTTGCATGCAAGAATGTACAGTGTGTGTGTGTGTGTGTGTGTGTGTGTGTGTGTGTGTGTGGGTAAGGCATGGCAGCCAACTTTGTATTTGCTATTTATAACAGCAGAGCTTTGGTATAATCGTGGTCACTAGAATTGTACCTACTATAGACAATTAAAACGGTAAAAGTCTCAATAAAACTATGAAATGTGGTCTGATGGCTGTTATATTATTATAGTATTAATACTCACAAGTTTCACCAAACTTCAACATGGACTATCAGGTGGGCTGAAAAAAGACTAGGATGCATTTCTGAAGATGTAGCCTCAACTCTGAAAGGTGAAGTGTTAAAGAAAGTATCCTGGTATAAGATAACTGGTAAGATTATCATTATTTGCTTTTGATTATTAATAGGAATGTAATCTAATACTTAGAGGAAAATACGGAATCCAACCTTAATACCTACTTTTCATATATATGTTCTGTGTTTATTTTAAAATGTTAGCTGTAATCCTTTCACTTCTAATTTTTAATCCATGGAAGTAATCATAGTAATAATTCTTTGTGGTTTCTATTTATCTATTAACCTACATTACCTGTTTCTCTCCAGTTTAAGATATCTATATCTATATATTTAGTTTAAGATACACATATATATATGTGTATATATATAAATATCTCTATATATAATGCTGTGCAGCGGCAAGTGTATATGGACTGGAAGCATCCTTAAAGCATTAACTTTTTCCCTCAGTGGAGAAGGTAAATGGACAAGGTTCTAGACTGGTTTTCAGGTTGTCTACTTAGAGATACCTGTGAGTAGAAAAATGCAAATCTTTTGCAATCCTTAAGATATGTCTCACATCAGTTTTAACTCCACAGATAGCTACCATTCAGACTTCACTACTTGGGAATCCTCACTTTACCTAAGTGTAGTTTGATGGGTATGTGTGTATGTATGTGCATATGTATGTTTGTTTATTTGGTACATGTGTGTAGACATAGAAATTATACTAATATTTACTTTCCTGGTTTAGGAAGAATCTACCATAAAGCTCAGAGTACTTTTTGATTTTCAAAATAACTTTGAGATTAGAGTCAGAGAGCCTTTTTTCTTCAAAAGCAAATATACTACATCTTAATTTTCTCTTTCCCTTTAATTAACTGGAGGGTTTATACTTTTTTCAGGTTTATAATTTTGTCCCCAAATATGGCCAGAGATTTCATTTCCAAATACAAAAGGCTTGTCCTAAATTCAAAGTCACTCTATTGTGGTTTAAAAGTCTGATGGGATGGGACATTACAGATACAACAGCTGTCACTAGAAATCCATGTTATTGTTAATATTATGCTAACTTGCTTTAACCTTGACAGGTTATATTGCTTTGGGGTTGACCCTGAGGACTGACATCCCCAGCCAGCCTCTTTTCTGGGACCCATGGTCCAAACAACAGCTGTGGATGGAGTTGGGGCCCTGGGCTGAGCAGATGACAGCACTGCAGTCCCTTGGAAATGGACAGCAGGGGGTTGGGGCGGGGGTGGGTCATATGGAAACATAAGTACAACACAGAGGGGAAAACGTGTACAGCCTTTCCTGATCACAGAAAGGAAAAATCACCTGAGTGAATGTGGACAATTGTTGATCACAAAGCAGGAAAATAGCCTTGGACATGATCTAATCCCATTACTTCAGTTTGCTGGTAAGAGCGAAGTGTTCACATTCAAAGAATTAGCCAAGAACTCAGGCTTCCTGCTCCTACTAGAACAATCCTCCCACCATCCTTGGGCTCTTAACACTGATGGTGACCACTATTGGGTCAAGAAATCTGTACTGTAGGTTATGATAGGCACGAACAAATAATAATAGATTAGAGTCTGTAAATCAGTAAGGCCTTCTGATTTTAACTTCACACACACACAGCACATATATTTATATGTACCCGTGTCCTGGGTCACAGTGAACATTTGATGTTTTACTGAGAACTCAGTCAAAAATATTACAAAACTACACTACTTTATTCAGTAAAAGATAACATGCAGTTATTAGAATAAGAAATAAGAGATAATTTTAAAAACTATTTTATTTTATTTATTTTTTTTTTTATAGAGGCATGCTTTATTTATTTGTTTGCTGGTTTGTTTGTTTGTTTTGTTTATACATGCACTGGGTACAGTCAGAAGCGCGGGAGGGTGAGAGAATTCACCAGAGCCAGAGCGGGGAGCAGAGCAGGCAGAAGGACCGAAGGACACTGCTGAGGGGAGCAGCGGGCAGCAGGAGAGGTCTGCGCGCCATGTGGGACCCTCCTCCGGTGGCCGGGGAGCAGCCGGGGATCGAACCGGCACCGCACCGCAGAGGCCGCGCGCAGCTTCGCAACCCAGCGCTCAACCGCTGCGCCACTGGGGAGGCCCCTTTAAAAACTATTTTAAAACACATACATTGTTACATATATCTTTTTTTTTTTTTAATATTTTCATGTGAAGACTACATCTGGAATTTCCCAAAGAAATATGGAAGCGACATACTTAGGTGCAGGAAGGCCTGCACCTAAGGATGGCTGTTTGCAGATTCAAATAGTAATGGTGAAACTGAGATTTATGTAAACTTTGATAATCTCGCTCACAACTCCCTCTGATATGAACAGCTAACAAATCTTCACTATGTTTAGAGCATCAGCTTTGTAGTCAAAAGATCTGGTTTGAACACACCTCTGCGACTTACTATTTGTGTATCCCAGGCAAATCATTTGAACTCACTTGGTTGTGTGTTCCTCACCAATAAAATGAGTGTGCTAATTTGTGACTCATAGGATGTTGAGAGAATTAGATGAAATAAAATATGCAGAGTACCTGCTATATAATACAAAATAAATAGTCCTAAGGCAACTAAAGATTTTGCTTCTTCATGTGTGATTTTGCTACCATTATTATTTCTATTTCCATAGTATTTCTATTAATAGAAATAAAAGTATTTCTGTTGTCTTTCACATCATGGGGACTTTCTGAGACTCCTAGAAATTCACCTTGTGGGATTGAGGGTATTTAATATTGTTCTTTTGGACACTCTGAAATATCTGAGGTCATATCAGATGTATTCAACTCTTTCATGCTTTACACTTTGTGTGGACGAAGACATGTAAGAAAAACAGTGTACACTAAAAATATACCAAGAAGAGTCTGCAGCTATCCTTGACTAGGCCTCACCTCTCAGATTCACAGTATGTTTTCAGTCCCCTCTGCCCGGAGCCAGGTCTTTGGTTTTGCAGATCCAGAAACTTGATCTCAACAGTTCACCTAGAGTTCACCCACTCTGGGGCACTGACTCACACTAAGCAAACTGACAAGAGTCGAGACATTTACCAACTAGAATGCCATTTTGTGAGTGTACAACAGCTATATCTCAGTCATAATATCAGACATCTGCTTTGTGTTCAATCTAATTACGCATCAGAAAGTTGCCTGCAGAACCTACAATAAGAAGAAAGAGAGGTGATACTCTTGAAAGTCATTTCCAGCAACATAGAAGAGCTGAAAGGCTTGCCTACCCTTGGAGATATTGGACCTGATAACCAGCTTCTAGTCTATGCTTGAATAACCTCTGCCTGCCTGGGACAGCTTAGCGGCACCTAGATTGAAAATTTCACATTTACGTATTTTATTTTGCAATCAACCACCACTATCATTACTTCTTTACAAAATGTTTTAGTAATGTCTCCCACTGTGGGTGAGGAGGAGATAGAAAAGACTATGATACTTGCTAAATTGGAGATACTTGGAAGACTTCCAGATGGAAAGGTACAATATGTGATTACAAATGCTTCTCCAGAATTAAGAACAGAATTGTAGCAAGATATAGAAGTTTGGGAATTTGTCATTGTAATGTGATAGCTGCTACCAATGATATAGGTCCATTCACCTAAGGAGTATGTGTAGACAGAGAAGAATAAAGGGCCAGCAAAGGGGGAGTGGGGGAGCGGATATGAACCACAAACAATACCAACACTGGGATGGACAGACAGAGGAGAAGACTGAGCAGGAAGAATTGGGGTCATAAAAGATCCTAGAAAACTTCAGAAGAGACTTTCAGGAAAGTCTGTGTCACCTATACTGGAAAGGACCACAAGGAATCTATTGTATCAGAAATTAGAAAGCATCAGTATTTAATTGAGAGCACTTTAAATTATAACAATAGAAATTATTGATCACTGAAAAAAGTATTTTGATGAAGAGATTGAGGAAAATATGTAATGGCTTGAGGGAGAGACATTAGAAGCAGACAAAGGTAAAAAATAATTCACTTACTAATGCCTGAGGAAATAAGGTCCATGGGGAAATTGGAGTAAATGGATGACAGCAGTACAAAGGGGAAGAGATAACATCAATAGAAGGAAGGAATGACTGTGTCTATTAAAGTTGAATGACAGTAAAGGCCATCATAGTGGAGGAGACTTACATTGGTGAGGACATTGGCTGTATTGCTGAGTGACAGGAAGACTAGGAATTGAGGTGGGAACAGACTTGAAGGTTGATGGATGAGAGCACTGAGTAAAGAGGCAGCTAACAAGAAATGGCTGGCATTACTCCCAATAGAGATTTTACATAACTGGGAGAATAAGGTCAAAAGCAGTGAGGAGCTGGGAGAATACCCATCCCCCTTCTGGGGTGTTAAGGTAACAAAGTAGGAGAAATGACCTCTACTAGGAAAAAAGAGTGAAGGTAATATTTTACAGGGGATTTGTCAACAGTTTGGTTAGAGAAGGTTGAGGGTATGGAGTTTCTATTGGAAAGAGTTGTGTCTCCAGAATACATAGCGACCATGAAGATAGAAGTATGGTTAGGACAAAGTGAAAATGGTAAAGAAAGAGCTGGATGGATAAGAAAAGTTCAGTGGCAAATTGTACCAAGGATGTCTTGCCAGATCCTGAAGGTAAAGGAGGCATGTTGTAGAAAGATTTAAATGTGGAAATAACTGATATTTCAATAGGAATTTTGGCAATATGTTTCTCTCTAATCTGGACAGATTGACCTAGGATGGGTAGGGAGAGGGAAGTAGATTGGCCTAAAACAGTGATCAAGAGTGTGTGTGATGCTTTTAAAAGATGGTTACAAACTCATTAGCACTTTTCCCTTTAAGAATTGGATCTATGGTGCCTCTCCTTGAATCTGAAAGGATTTGTGATTTTTTTATCAAGAGAAAATGGCAGAAGTGGTTCCTTATGATTTCTAAAAGCAAGTTATTAAAGACTATATAGCTTTTGCCTTGTTTGGGATGTTCTCTATTGGAGTATTTTTTTTAAAG